TGGGGTTGTGATGTCCTGTCTGGGTCCTCCACAATGTGCCTCAGCACACAGAAAAACGTTTCCAACAAACGTCAAGCCCTCAGCTCCACGCAAATGACAGTATTAGAAAAACGGATTCCCTTTTATTCTTCTTTTCTGACCTCTTTCTATCAATTACTCTAATTTCCTCCAAACATAATGACACTCATCTGGAAAAATCCACCATCCAGACCATTGACAATAGTTTATTCATACCCACTCTATGTATATTTGATAAACAGTTATTAGATCAAACTAGAGAAAGTGAAGGGAAAATAAATAGAACGTCACGACCAGAACAAACGTTGCCTTTATACTTTAACTTTAGGCATAGAAGCATCTTTAGTCTTATCTAAATCACACACTGAGAGTCACTCCGACAAGCTGTTGAGAGTCTTGAATGAACTTTTGGACTGAGCACCTGGAGAAAGCCCACACATGGAAGAACTACCTCCAGTTTCTGTTTCATATGGTGTTATTTTCCCAGTACCCATCAGTTAACTCATTGGCTGCCAAAGACGTCTATAGAGGTCTTTTATGTTTTTCAACGAGAGTGGCTGGGGGACGATCTGCTAAAGCTTGTCCGTAAATATCGGCTTCTAGACAGAGTATGTAGTAACAAATTGACCCTCTAGGGGGCAGTGCCACTTTTGATGGGAGATGAGCATAGACTGTAGGCAAATAAGAAAAAGTTAACGGTTCAATATGTCGCCGGTGAGACGCAAGTCGATGTAGAACGGAATAAGGTAGAAACAAATTTTTTTCTTGATGAAAGAAGAGAGTCTACTCTTTCTTTTGGTGTGTTCGGTGTTTACATAGTCATAGCACAAACTATTCTGTGGCTCTTGAAAAATCAGTCAAAATGCTCAAAAAACTCTGGCAGTATGGGACTCTCTGCTCTGAAAATGGCTGCCAGTCAGTGAGTTAAACACAAAAGTGAACTTAACCTCTCCACTTCAGGGCCGGCACCAAGAGCTGGAAGCCGCCGGCACACAGCTGGACAACATCCCCCAAGGATCCGACCATCCCTGGGAGGGGGGGCGGCTGGTTCTGGGCTCTGCTGCCAACACCTGGGCCCACTCGGTGCACAGGGGGAGAGAAAGGGGAGGGACAACGCACAACCAAAGCCGCCAACAGCAGTC